GAAAGAGCTTTACTGTGTCTGCTGTGTTAATGCAGCTAAACTAAACAGGCTGTAGATCTGCTGAACAAAGCTGGCCATTTTCTGTGTGGTGAGCCTGAAACAAATATTGAGGATACATTCAATAGTGACTAATGCAAAGGTCAGGATTCTCTGACTGTAGCTATTGGCTTTGCACACTCAGCCACTGCAGTCCTTGGGGAACACTGCCTCGTGCTCTCTCCATCTTGCTCCTTAATACTGTGGTACAGAGTCACAGTAAGCTCATCAGGGAGCTGCATGTTTCAGCTGAACCAAACACAACTGGAAATTACTCACCACAGCAGCTGGAGCGATGAGGGAGCCCTGTGACACATGCTGCCTCTGGAGCTACATGTTTTTAACCAAGTCCCACTGGGAGTTACAGCAGAAGCCACTAGTAGTAGTCCAGTTCTCTTCCCCATACCCATTTTTAATTCCCACTTTGAGAACAGTAGCTGCACTGTGGAGGTCCTGCTCAAATCCTATATCAGGATAAACTGTAGCATTTCTGAACTACTCTGGGCTGCTGATACAGTCTACAGTTTCTGCAGCTAAGCAATGGAAATAAATGCAAATGCTGCACACTGTGCCAAATTCATGTGACCTCCTGCCCTGAGGAAAGCATAGGTCACCACCAGACAGACATGAGAGAAACAGCAGAAGTTCCTGCAATACTTATAAGTACCATCTCTCACAAAGTTGGCACTCATTGCTTAGTGAAAAGCCGTATTTCAGCTACCGATTTTTAACTCTTTTATCATCTCTAGTTTGCTGCAGAGGTTTCAGTATCTCCAGAGGTTAAGTGGTACTGTAAAAGGAGGAATACCTTAAGACATTGTTCCCAACAACTGTGGTGCCTCTCTAACACATCGCAGAACAAAGTGCATCAACACTAACCGTCTGGATCAGTACAAGAAAGACATGGAGCAGGCCCAGAGGAGGCCACAAAAATGATCAGAGAGATGGACCACTTCTCCTATGAGGAGCGGCTGAGAGAGTTCAGTTGTTCAGCCTGGAGAAGAGAAGGCTCTGGGAGATGTTACTGTAGCCTTTCAGTACTTAAAGGGGCTTATAAGAAAGATGGGGACAGACTTTTTACTGGAGCCTGCAGTGACAGGACAAGGAGTAATGCTTTTAAACAAAAAGAGGGTAGATTCAGACAAGATGTAAGGACGATATTTTTTACAATGAGGGTAGTGAAACACTGAAACAAGTTGCCCAGGGAAGTTGTGGATGCTCCATCACTGGAATTGTCCAAGGTCAAGTTGGACGGGGCTCCAAGCAAGCTGATCTAGTTGAAGATGTCTCTGCTCACTGCAGGGGGGTTGGACTAGGTGACCTTTAAAGGTCCCTTCCAACCCAAACCATTCTATGATTTTTATGAGTTTACTCTTACTGCCTGACCTGGTGCAGCCTGGGAGAAGACTAACAGATGGATAAAAAGTAAGGGGTCCAAAATGCAACTATAATGAGCAGCTACAGGAAGATTTGTGTATAGGGGTTGTGAACACAGAGAGATCTTGGGGAGTGGGGATGAGGGGCAAGAGGTAGTGGAAGGGGTTCGGGAAAGAAGGCCAGGGAAAGGAGAAAGGAAGGCAGAGCAAGGAGGCTTATTTATAAAGAGGTTGGCAAGCACTCTGTCAAGAAAAACTAATGTCCCATTTTGGCAGCAATGATTACAGAGCAGCACCAAATACTCAAGCCAGGAAACAGAGACAACTCCAAGCTCCTGCAATAAACAAAGAGTATGGGGAATCTGTGCTGCAGCACTAAAGTTTGTGACAGAAACTGATATTCTCAGGGATATATCTCACCTCTGAGATCTATAAGCTCACTGTCCGATTCTCTGAGAAATGCCATGCAGAATTGCTGCATAGAATTCTCTCTCTGAGAGGGATTTCAAAACTCAGGCAAGAAAACACGCGGGTCAGCTAGCACTTGGTAAATCTGACCCATGTGAATATGTGGCCCACTCCATGAGCTGCTGATACAAGGCAAGACCACCAGTCTGGCTTCAGACTGGTCTGGTTTTGGACAACGGGAGGCAGACCCATGACACTAACAAAGGAAGTTAATGATGCTGTTGTATTGCAACCAGCGTTATGTCTAGCACAGTCCAGACTCTAAATGCACAGAGTGTTTCCTGCAGTAACAGAGCAAACCTATTACATGGTATGTTTCCACCACATGCCGATTTAAACATGGTTATCAGGATCCATGATTTTCTGTCCTGACAAACAGGTGACATGCACAGAACTTGTACAGACAAAGCAGAAAATCTCACTGTCGCACAATTTCAGTATCAGTTGGGCTCTGCAGATAGAAGCTACAGTACCTCTGTGTCCCTGTGGCTCTTAAAATGTGGCTTCAGTGGCAGCAACAAAAGAAAAGAGGAACTCCCCTCTTCGCGACTACGCAACCGGTAGTGAAATTTTCAGACAGGTAACCCATGAGTTACTGTTTGTGAAAACAAAGAAATTAATAAACTCTTGAATTCCACAGAATGGTAAATGATGTGTGAGTGCCACATTCTGCCACTGATGGGCAGACAGGGGCGCTCCTCTAAGGATAGAGAAGCACCAGCCATCCCAAGGGGCAGCAGCACTCCCAGCACAGACTCCGGCCTTGGCAGGGGTGAAAGGCCTGACATTAGCCAGCCCCCTGAAGAGAGGAGCAAGTGGGCAGCAGATGGGCTAATCTGTGCTCAAAATACCAGCCTGCTCTATGGTTAGGTGTCCTGGTCACCCAGATGCGAACATGGCAGGCACTCCTGATGAGCAGCTTATCTTCGGACTTCTGTTCAAGAAATATGCATGTTAAAGGTTGTGAAGGAGACTTATTTGATGGCTAAATTTCCATGTGCAAAAACTACTAAAATTTTTATTTTAAAGATATTTGAAAAAAATAGGGGCAGTTCCTTTTACTCCCTTTGTAGACAGTAAATATTCTATGCTCCTGACATCTTCTGATAGCTGTCATTCTTCTCCACCCCACCAAAACAAACATCACACACAGTACTGCTTGTGCTATGCCTGTCTCTCTCATCCCTACCTTTCATTTAGTGCAAAGGAAACACTACCTTTTATTACCATAGGAACCACTCCATCTGTTTTAAAAGTGTCTATCACCTCCCTGTGTTTCCCTCCAGACCCATTAGCTGTGATGCCCAAGCAGCAAGGTCCCAGCTATGCAGGACCGTAGCAGAAGCATCACTCTCAGGGACATTGCTGAATTGGGCACCAATCAGTTACAGTTAAGGGAGGGAAAAACAGTAAAAAACAGCCAGTGGTTTGCTGCCTTTTGCAGTGCTGGCACCAGTGGTGACTGCAAGCTGCCCAGCCTTGTGCTCTTTCTTGCTCCCAGATGCCAGAGATGAAGCGTTTCTGCCCCTGGCTGGACAGGAAGTAAGTGTTCCTGGTAGAGCAAGCTAGAAGTAATAATAATCATAACAGAGGGGTAATATAAGGGCCAGTGGCTCTTAGATCCAGAGACCTAAGCGCTGTGAAAAAATCTCTAACTTCCCATTTGCCAATGCAGTCTCTGCTGCCCTGAAGTTAGGCACTGTGTCCCTAACTACCTTAAAGCTCTGATTTTCTGGAGATGCCCCACTCGCCTTATTTAACACATCCAAGGTAGACAAAACACGTATGTACTCAACTTCCACTGCCTTTCATGGGCCTGCATATGAGGCAGGTGGAAGCATTAGGGGCAAAGAGGATTGCAGCAGTCGCTTGAGCAGTAGTAAGAGTGGAATTAATACTCATAACTATAAACCAAGGGCAATCCCCTGTCCTCTGCTCATCCTTCTTCAGAGGATGCTTTGCTACTCTTCATTCTGTGCAAGAGACATTGATGGCAAAGCTCAGAGTACCAACAGGTGAGAGTACTTCTTCCTTTTCTATTTATCTAAAGCAGTGACACATTTTTCCCCCCTTTAAATATGCTCTTCTTAGCCACCCATTTGCGGAACTATATGAAAATAAAATTAAATCTAATAGCCAACAACTAAGTGGAGATCAGAAATGTTTTTCAAGAAAGGTAGGTTATCAGTATTAACTCCACTCTCAAAGACTGTCAAAAAGAGCAATGCGGAGCCCTATCAAGGGTGTAATCTTGGTTTTACAATGTTGTCTTGTGAAAACTGTGACTTGGTTTTCACACCTTTAGTTCTCAGAACACATATACACACTATATGTATTTCAGCACGGGGTGTTCAATGCCCTCTATGTGCAACCCTTCCCAAGCACATGAAACCAAATACTGTGCCTTTTCTCTGAAACGGGAGGCAGCATGTCTATCACAAAGCCTCTTCACTGCTCCTGTGGAGCTCTGGAGACAACTCATTCCATCATACTCCAAAAACAACAATCCCTATCAATTAAGTTAAATTGAAATTTGGAGAACAATAAAGTCATGGAGAACGCCTAGTTGAGCTACTCTGCATCCACCCAGCAGATGCCAATGGTACACACGTATTTCAGTGTTGCTGATATGCTCACTCAACAACTACTTGAAATGTTATATAGACAACCAACTCTTTACAAATACAAATTTGAGTTCAGCAAGAGAGACTGAGTATTCACCACCAGACCCTTTTTTTTCTCTTTCTAAAACAATGGTACTCAGCGTGCTGTTCACAGGGAAGAAGTTGCCTGAAAGATCCTCACTGCTTTGCAAGCTGGGCTCCTCCTGCAAGAGGTCCTGTGTTTGCGTGCACCTGTGCAATGCTGACATACCAAGTGAGGCTGGGGATCCACATATTTCTATGCAATTTCATGCCCAGCACCTGGGCACCTATGATTGCCTCTACCTGTCTTGGTTTTTTAGAGAGCAGCCGGAGGTTTTGCACTGGACCGCACTTAATCCAAACTGATTTACAGCTCATAAAGTAGGCTCCAGATAAGCTAACAGCATGGAGAAGTCTCATATTGAAGGGGTACTGACACTCGGGGCATCACTGGCATTAATGTATGTGTCTTGACAAATCATTTGTCAAGCTGTCCCTGAACTACATTATCATCTTCTACACACTCCCTCATAGGGTGGACCAGACTCAGGAGCTAGCAAAGCACCCCAGCAGTCAGGACACAGAAACGATGGCTATAACAGCTACAATATGTTCATAGCGTGAAAACGACATACCTCCTTCCAGCTATTTTAACATTAAGAAAGCCTATGCTGTTTTGTCTGCCTCCTAAAGGCACCAGGCTAGAGCGCCATGCCCAAATCCTCCTTACCTCCTGCACCATTTCACAAGAGAGACAGCATTCACCAAATTTCTAGCTATCCTTCCTGAAAAAATTTGAAGTAGTGATAGCATCTCTCTCCTGTGTTTGCTATTGTAGCTCATGATAAAAATACCGTCTCATATATTCACAGACTGCCATCAGCATTTAATAGCACTGGCAGCTCTGAAAAAACTTCTTAGCACACCTAGCATTTCCCCACGCTTCTGCAAAGGCTTTTCGGGTTGTTTAGCAGGTATCTGCCTCTACCTAGCTTGGTTTGTTACAGAAACTGCCCCACAGCGACTGCCAGATCTCTCAGTCTTGGCTTGGCTGCAAAGTATTCCTACTCTCCAGGTGAAACCGGAGGAGGTTCGTACACCTCGCATTCCACCTGCCGTCTAATGAGAAGAGGCGCCGAAAGGCCTTGCGGTGGCACAGGGGCCGACCCAGCAGGGAGCACCTGCGCCTCACCCCCTCCCGCCGGCCCCCCCAACAGCCAAAGCCCTGTGGCGGCGGCGTGACCCCCCAGCGACAGCTTTTTTTGCCGGTCGGCCCAACCGACGCCGGCGCCGGCCCCGCGGCCGCCTCGGCACCGGGGCAGGGGAGGAGAAGAGAAGGGGCGTCCCCTCTGCTGTCACTCACGTTGCGGTCGCAGGAGAGCCCGGGCAGGAGCGGCAGCGCCATGACCACACGGACCCGCCAGCAGCTCCGCACCGCTCCGCATCCGGTGTCCGCCGCTGGGGGCGCCGTTGCCAGGAGACCAACGAGGGGGCGGGACCGCGCAGCAGCTGGGACGGAGAGTTCCGGCCCCCACAGGCGTGCTCCTGCTGGCTCTCCCCGGCACCACCGGTGTTGTAACCCGCCCAGGCGGTACCGAGAGAAGGAGGGAGGCCCAGGCCTTCGTCCTCAGGAGCCCCGGACCCTCGGGGAGCTTGAGGGAGGTGTGGCGCTGCGGGCCCAGAGATGGAGGGCGAGTTGCGGTTTGCGACCTTTGAGGCCAAAGTAGAACTAAAATCCGAATCCATTTATTTATTTTTTTCAGAATTCGTTGCCGCTTTCTTCACAAATCTCCCAAGCTTTACCTCAGGCCCAATGCTTTGTGCAGTCCCTTCTGCTCCCCACTCCCACCGCCCTGGGTGCAGTAACCTTTGACTGAGCATGGTTCCCCCTCAGAGTAACTCTGGAACCGGGGTCATGGACAGCGGCAAATCCCACTGCATTTGCCATTTTCTGCACGAATTAATGTTTCTCGTTTTGTGAGTTTTTATACAGTACATTTTACTTCGGGGCCCTGGTGGGCTTGGGGAATGGGGGGGTGGGATGCTTTTACAGCTTTTTGTTTGTGTTTTTGCATTTTAGTCCACCGGGATGGTAAAACTAGGTCAGTGGGTTTCCACTTTCTGGTTTCCCAGTGCTATATTATGCACCTGCATTTGCATTTAGTGTGGAAAGGTAAACATTTGAAATGTATTTTAATTGAAAATAAAAGGAATCATCATTTTAATCACATTCATTTGATGTTGTGGGTGGTATTACACTCAAATTTAAATTTCAAACAGGAAATACATGGAGAGTTTCTCACGGTTGGTTTGAAGGGAAAGGGTTGTTTCTTTCTTTAATGGAAGTAACATTTTCCTTGTTAATAAGGAAGGATGCATTCCACATCACCTCCTATTCCAGAGAACAGCAACCATGCTACGTTATGTTCCTCCATTTTACATAAAGCTGTTCATGAGTATATTTTTTGATTAGAGCTGCTTTTTACAGAAAAATGAGTTCTTGGAAAAAATAGCTTAAACCCAAATATTTCAATTCTGATACGCCATCACGATGCCTCAGAGGAGCTGTACTTCAGTTGCTTAATGTCCTTATTCTTATAGATGGAGTGGATCTCCCCTGCCATATTTCATATTCTATGATGCATCAGACCATGAAATTCCCATAACATATCATCTCTCGTCCCTGAAACAGAGGCTCACAGAACAGCATGGCGCTCCCCCTACAGCTCCCATGGAGCGCCTGTGCAGCATTCGCTGTCAGAATTGGTATTTGGCCAAAATGTTCCGATTTCAAAAACTGTAATTTCAGTGAAAGTATCTCATTCTTTATTGCCAGAATTTTGAAATGGGGAAGGGGAGGAAAGGAGAAGGAGAAGGAGAAGGAGAAGGAGAAGGAGAAGGAGAAGGAGAAGGAGAAGGAGAAGGAGAGTGAAGGAAAGCTGTGCAAATTCTGAAATGCTCAGTGCAGGGCACCCCACATTGCCATACTTCAGCAGTGAAGCTTTTCCAGTATCGCTCATTATTCTTTGCACATTCACGTGATCCCCGATAACCTTTCGATGTGTCTTTATATACCTGACAAACGATGCATGGGAGGCAGCTGGCATACTCATACAACATACCTTTCAGTCTGGGCAGCTGTCATGAGAGAGTGAGGATCTTTCAGAAAATGGATCCAAACCATTTTATAGTGTGTATATGCCAATGAGTCTCTCTGAGATAAGTGAACCACCCTAGCTGCGACTTCAGACAGAATCTCATACGACCCTTGCAACTAGTGGCACAATTTCTCATTTGGGGTACTAACCATCATCAAAACACAATAGTGAAGAGTCAGTGTTTCTTTTCACTTCGTTCTTCCTTCAGAATTAATATCTCCTGTTTAGTTCTTATGGCTTGTTACGTAGTGGGGCGGTCGAAATGTCTCAGCACTCTCCTGGTATCAATAATGAACTGTTGCTCTAAGGCTTCAGGGAGCATGGGCAGAGGCCATATGGCTTCTTTAGGAAGGTTAGCGAAATGCATGGCATCAGCAGAGAGTCCAATACATTTCCAGCTGAAAACTCCATGAATTGTCCCCAGCCTTCAGGTCACATCTTTCTGCATAGAATTAATTACCCTTTGCCTCACCCAGTAAAGAAGCCATAAGGAGCTATGGAGAAAGGCAGTGTCTTCCTCATACTTCAGGAGCATGGTTACGATGTGGTGTTTCCTACCACTCTTCAATCATATTTTTGCTTTCAAAAGTGAAAAAAAATTAGAATATTCTACTTTAGAACAGAATTGTTTTTTCCTACATTACTTTCTTTTTGGGGTTTCTCTCACATGTTTTAACGCATGTGCTGGGTCAAAAACTGGCTGGATGGCCG